TGTTCTTCTCGAGGAATCGCAAAAGAATACCTCCCTCTCCCCTTAACAAATCGAACGTTATTGAAAACGCGTCTCGGCCGAAACAATTTCTACATCTTGCGCGATACTTCACGTCGTGGAAAGGAAATATCTGGAAACTCGTTGCTGCACTCGATGATCGAGATCGACTGATACGAAGTTTCCAGCGAAATCGAGGCTAGTCGGTCGGCCTTCGATTCCGCTGCAATCCCAAGCACCGGTTGTCGTAACCTTCGGCTAGGAGAGACTGATTCATCCGCAGCGACCCGGAAACCGGCCCTCAACGAAACGAAATTATTTTCAAATCTGTCGTTATTGATATTGGATATTGCGTCGACATTGGGAGAAGATATTCGATGCCGCGACGCGAGAAGAGTTCGCGGAGGCTAACCTCCAGGTCAAGGAAAGTTATACAGTATGTCTAATAAGAACGTGGACGCCACTTCACTGAAAAAAAAAAATATTCTTTTTGTAAAAGATTTTGCACACTGTTAATTGAATGCTTAATGGTATTTTAAGTCCAACCTTCGACCTGTGCAAAATTTTGGTGTCCACGTTTTTATTAAGTGAGAACACTGTAAGTTCGTTATTCGGCCATTGTTCTCCCTCCCCCCCCCCTCCACCCGTCTGAAAAAAACTGTTTCCCGGTGGACGTAGCTAAATTTAAAAAAACGAAAGAAAAGAATCGCTGGCGCGAGAATGTCATTACCTCGGGGCCGTTGTCGATTAAATAACAGACTGCCGGTTTTGCGCAGCGAGGTGCAACAAACGGGTTCGGAACGGTGAAAAGAACATTCCGCCGGCCGTTTCCATTTTTCAGATAGCCGTTCGAATGCGTAGGAGGTAGGTTTATCGAGCAGTTCGATCCTTGAAATTAAATCCTTTTATAAGTAATTTCAATATGGCACGATCCAGAGTAAGAGCGACAGTTTCGAACGTTTAGCGATTATACTTTCCGGAAATGGAAACAATAGACACTTTCAAATTGATTCAAATATTGATGGACGGAAATAGGATCGAGTATCTCGCAAGTAGGTTCGTTTCTTCTAATCAATTCTTCAGATTATTTCCATGTGTTCACTGGGATGTACACCTTGATTGGTGCAATTAGGAGCATTAATGTCGTCGGAATATATTTGCACAACTTGTGGAAGTTTACGTGAGAATGAAAATAGAGAATGTTCTTAGAAAACTACTGAGAAGCATATGGCAGTTCAACAAAATCAAAGATAAAGATGTGTTAGACCTCAATATTCTTCTCTCATACGTGTATAACGTACCCTTGTCAATCTTTTATGAGTGAAATCATATATTTATCAAGAGGGTTCAGTGACGACAGAGAAAATTATATATATGGACCGTTTATATGAACTTTATTTATTGTAGATAATAAATTATAGATAATATCCAATTAAACGAACTCTTTCTGAGTGAATCCAATTATTTCAATTCTAACTACCAAATGAATGAAAAATCACCGATAGAGGAATTATTGGACTGTTCCTCATTGTATGAATTCCAATTAATATAAATTATTTGAAAATTATTGAAATTTGATTTATTGTAAGTAGATACTCACTCTGGGATTCGAAGCTAACTTTCATAAATAGCGATTTAAACATTTATGCTTTCGAATCGCACTCGTAATCAAGCCCATGACACAAAGTTTAGATATTGAACTTGACTCTGACTTGTAAGCACATAGGTATATATGTACATGGGGATTCAATTTCAATCCCGAGCGGAATTTTCGATCGCGATAAAAAGCAGAAAAGCGTGTCTCGCCGCGAAGAAACTGTACGTATGTACGCGTTACGAGCCGGATAGAAATAAATTGAACAACGACTGAGGAGAGACAGGCTGGGTGGAGGATGAAACTTAGGTAAAATTCAATGTATCTTCAGAGAAACGTACGAGAAAGAGAGAAAGCGGAAAGGCGCGTGGCTTCGCGATTAACGCGAACGAGATCCGCGAGCGAGCGAGCGAGCTGGGCGTTTAGCCAGAGAGGCGAAAGAACGGAGAGCCTGGCCTGTAAATTGGAGCAGGGAGGGGAAAAAAGGAGAACGAAGGGTAATAGGATGCAAAGCGAAATAAAGTCGAGCCGAAGGATTCGCTCTCTCGAGCCGTTTACTCGCGTCGACGGGAAAGACGAACAATATTTATTTTCTCCTCGTTGCTCGGACTCGTGATAGCTTCGCTGTCTGTTTAAGAAGAGGAAAATTTTATTTCGAACGAGGCAACGAGAGAAACGGGAGACAAAACAAAGGGATGAAGAGAGGAGGGGAGGGGAGAGGAAAGGAAAGAAAGGAGAGACGAGGCGAGAAGGAAGA